GCAAACACACACACACACACACACACACACAAATCGGACCGAAATCTATAAATGTCAATTTTTGAAAATTATTAATTTTCAAAGCGGGATATTAAAAACAGAAAGGTAATGAAATAAATGATCTCTTATTATCTTACATCTAAGCACACTTTAGTAGATGCTTTCCATACGAAGCCATGGGGCGTTGCTAGTACAGTATATAATAGGTTATACAATTATGTACAAACTCATAAAAGAAACCGTTTGGAAGCGATCACATCATATATTATTAGAAGATCTCTCATTGAGATTATTAGAGGATCAGTATGTGCGAGCGTGGTCTTTCCCCGGTCGAACCGATCTATTTGTCTTCCAGATCGAATTTCGGTCACGTCGGCCATTCTCAACAAAAACTAGCCGTCTGCGTAAAACAAAATTATAGTGCACGAGTGTGTGCGCAAGCACAGGTGCACTCTCTATTGCCTCACTCCCATAGTCCGATGGGACGGTACTCCAACACGACTGGAGAGAGATCAGGTGCAGGACCAACGTCTTTACGTGTTTACCAAGGCTCGGAGGTGAGACACCGCCAACTTCGTGACTCCGGGCCGCTACTGAGAATTTCTTAACAGGAAACTTAACAACTGAAATTGGTCCCGACCCGGGATTCGAACACGGAACTAGACCAACGAGATCCATTCATACTGATATTATAGAATGGTAGTAACCTTGTACATTTATTATTAGTGTGTACATTAGTTGAGGATGCTCCCATGATGATGCAACTACATGTAAATAGCCACTCCTATATTTTTTGTTTTCACTTTATATGTCACGGACGCGGGCTTTGTTTTGTTATTATTAGCCTAGAGCTTTGCACGCGGTTTTACTTCTTTTTTTTTGTAGAGAATTAGGGTGACAAACAAACACATAGTACACCGGGGTAGGACCACGCTCTCACAGAATACCAGCGTAAAATAGCAGCTTTTTTATAGGATATGGGTGACAAACGAGCACACGGTCCAACTGATGGCATGTGGTTCCTGTGGCCCATAGACATCTATCCTCGATTACGGATCAAAATGCAGATGCGTTGTCTCCCATGAGAACTAGTGCCTCATATCCAGTAAAAGGGTCTCCGGTTCTCTACACTCACCGTACGAAACACAGCAGCGTTAAGCTAATATTTTACGCTGGTATTCTGTGAGAACGTGGTCCTTCCCCGGTCGAGCCGACCCATTCGTGCTGCAACTATACCAATAATATAGCTACAGCATGGCTCTACCACGTGGAAACGCTTAATACTGCTGTGTTTCGTATGGTGAGTGTAGCGAACAGGTGACACTTTTTAATGGAAACGAGGCATTCCATCTTAGTCCTCAGGGGTGATAAAACATCTATATTTTGATTTATTAATCGAGGATAGATCTAAACGTCTATGGGTCAAAGCATACACTTACATCAGGTGGACTGTGTGCTCGTTTGTCACCCTTATCCATTAAAACATTCATCTTCATCTCCATCATTTCTGCCCCTTACAAATCCTCTGCTGAAGACAGGACTTCCTAAGCTGTACCACAAATTCTCAATTCTGAATCCTCTCGTCGTCGTTCAAGGTCGTCAAACGTCGTGACTCCATTTAGTACGAGTAATGCGTAGCCTTACACTCCTCTTACCAGTACGAAGTTATCACTCAAGCACCTTTCTTCTATAGAAGAAAGGTGCTTGAGTCTCTTGAGGTCCTCTGTGTATTTATACGTGGTAGAGCCATGCTACAGCTATATTAGTAGTATAGTTGTAGCACGAATGGCTCGGCTCGACCGGGGAGGGACCACGCTCTCACAGAATACCAACGTAAAATAGCAGCTTAACACTGTTGTTTTCCTATGGTTAGTGTAGAGAACCGGAGACCCTTTTTACTGGAAATGAGGCATTCCATCTTAGGCCTCACGGGTGACAACGCATCTGCATTTTGATTCTTAGTCGAGGACAAATGTAGATGTCTATGGGCCACAGCAACCACTTACCATCAGATGGACTGTGTGCTCGTTTGTCACCCTATCCTATAAAAAAGTGGTTTTTCAGTTTGTGAGCTGTTCAGTGTGTGAGCCAGTGTCGTAACTACTGTGGGGCTAGGCCCTTTATTTTTTTTTACAAACTTCCGCCCGCAACTTCGTTCGCCTGTTATGGACCAACATTGAAAATTATCCCACGGGATTCTTTAATCGTAATAAAAATATCCTACTATTAAACCAGGTCGAGCTCTATCCGTATGTAAAATTTCATCCAAATCCATCTAGTAGCTTTCGTGAAAGCGTAACAAACCGAAAATTTCAGATTTATAACATTATTAGGAAGAAAGATTAAATATTATCTGTGGCGTTACACATAATACTTAGTAGTAAGAGGGTGACACTGAAAGGTCTTAGAAACTCAAAACTGAACAAACTAGCCAGTTATTAGTTTTATTATATCTTTTCAAAATAGTGTCCATTTATATCAATACATCGCTGCATCCGATGGAACCACTGAGAAAAGCACTTTGCCCACTCGTCCTTAGGGGTCCCTTCGACGGCGTTTTGAAACGCAGCCACTGCTTCCTCGGCGTCCATAAAACGTTTTCCTCAAAGTTTTTCTTTTATTTTCGGAAATAAATAAAAAACGCAAGGTGCGAGGTCGGGGCTATAGGGCGGGTGATCTAGTAGTTCCACGTCTGACGTCGCCAAGTAGTCGATTGTTTGCTTGACGTTGTCGTGGTGAAGGAGGACCCTACTGCGAAGTTGTTTCGCCCGAACTTTTTCCAAGACAAGTGGCAAGCAACTGTTAGTGTACCACTCTGCAGTAACTGTTTTTCGACCCTCTAAAACAATTGTTGCGTAATGACCTGTCCTTCCGAAGAACGAGGCCACCATCTTTTTTCCTACGCTTCGACCTCTCTTCATTTTAGTTGGCAACTTCTCGGAAGGAAACACCCGTCAGACTCTCTCCCTTAGTTTCAGGATCATATCAATAAATCCAGCTTTCGTCACCCGTAAGTATGTCGAACACAGCATTTGAGTCACCTCCGTTAAATCTTTGAACCATTTCACGACACCAATCAACACGACGGAGTTTTTGGGCCTCTGTACAAATTATGAGGTATCCACCGGGCACAAAGCTTCCTGACCGCTAAATATTCATGGAGGATTTTGTGCACTTGACTCCTACCGATGCCTAAGCTTGTCCGAATCTGCTGATAAGCCACTCTTTTGTCAGTCTCTATCGTACGCCGCATAACACTGATGTTATCTTCAGTCGTCGCCGTAGAAGGCCGTCTCTCACGCAGATCATCGGTGAGATTAGTGCGACCACGTTTAAACTCATTAAAACAGTTGTAAACAGTGGCACGAGATGGGGCTTCATCGTGAAAGGCCAATCGAAGTCTATCATAACTTTCTTGTTGACTTAAATGACATCTAAAGTCATAAAAAATCATTGTACGAAAATTTTCTCGCGTTAAATTCATGCTGACGTGACACAGACAATTTTCAATTTGCCGCCATATCGTAAACAAATGACAAATTAATATAAGTAATAGTTTTTTAATGCAGGTTTTTAATATAGCATTTAATTCCGTAGTCGATCTTGTCAGTAGTTTGTGTGATGTCGTGACGCACTGGATTACAAATAAAAGGAATTTTGTACCCATTCAGCCATGATAGTACGAGAGGTATAGAGGTCTCCTGTGACAGTCTCCCATTGTTGAGAGAAGTGAGACAGGAGACCAGCATATCGCACTTCAATGTTCAGCGACGATGTTGACTGCGAGGCGCATAACGAAAGCGCAGTGCTGGAGAGATATGATTCTCGTTGCGTCTGCTAGGGATGGGCAAGGCAAAAAAAATATCGATATATATCGAATCGATATTTTTAAACAGTATCGATATTTATCATCATCATTTGGATGATGTAAAGATAAGGTCCAAAATTTTATATTACTGACGGTTGGACGATGGAAAAAAAACGACAACCAACCACACATGCATACTTTTGTACCTCCTTTTGTTGTTACATGTTTTGTCATTTTAAAATATATCGAAATTGATATGAATTCGATACTCTAAAATAAATATCGATATATTGTGATTCAAAATATCAGAGATATATAAATATATTTTTATTAAAAAATATCGATATTTCGATGTATCGATATTTTTGGCCCAAGCCTAGCGTCTGCGGTAGGTGGTCGTTGCCGTGGTTGGGACTGTTCGAAACTGTGGCCGCGGCTTGCCCATGTCGGATCGAACAGCAATCCTCCGAGATGGGCCTTTCTGGTTTAAATTCTTATTGGAATTGACTGATGGTAGATTTCTAATAAAATTATTCTCATTAAACGGGGGTCTACGGCTTGGTTTTAAAATATCGCTCGATTTCTCAATACTTTCAGCCGCTTTTAATTTGTCACTATTATTTTCTCCAAATAGATATTTATCAGGTATAGTTGTCTATAATTGCGTTTCTAATCTGAATGTTTATCGCGTTAATAATAAAGAGTCTTTTTAAACGAGTTTCATTATAAAAACTATCACATATAAGTCTACATACATCGCTTAAAGACTTTAATATAACTTGGAGTGTATCTTAAGTTTTATTTGTATTGACAATAAAGAGTATATCCATAGATGAACTAAGCGCAGACAAGGTTATTGCTCTTTGTTTTTGTCTTTGTTGTAAGGAAAAATTACGTTTAACTAATGTATCAGGTCATGCAGCTTTTACTTCCGCATTTAAAATGGGTGGTATAAGTCTGTGAAGATTGTTAGGTATTATATAATCACTTAAAAGTTTCAACTTCGTATCTAAAAGCTTTTAGAAAAATTTACTTCGCAAATATCCGCGTTATAAAATAAAATGATGTGTCTTACCTAGTATGAAGAGCACCTCCCGCCCTCCCTCAATTGCGTGCACTATCCCCGTCACTACTAATCCCAGCACCGCTACTCCCAACACCACTACACTAACTTATTAACTTCGTATCTTATTTAAGTCCTCTTAGTAAAATGTGTTCCCATCGAGATGCGATATCTTTGTGTACTGGTGGCCCTGATTAAATTGCACTCTGCATCTCCCAACAAACTTAAAATTGACTCATCTAACTGGACCTCCATAGCGTCAGGCACAGACGACGGCCCTGGTTCGGAGGTAATTTCAGTTACAATGGGCACTGCTGCCGTCGTGCTCGGTGAAAGCGGGTGGTCAGGCTGGCCCATAATGCCGTCATCCAAGGTGATGGTTTGCATCTTGTTATTTATTTCACTGCCGGTACGGTTTGGGGTTGCGCCTGTAATTAAATTAGTTTTTTTATATATTCCATTTTTATAATATGTAGGAGGTGGTCATTAAAATATCTCATCATTTCTCAAATAAACTATGCTCGTATAATATAGTTAATTTTAATTTATTTTGGCGTGACAGAGATAACCCTAATGGTTTCCCGCATCACAATTTCCATAATAATATTTTTATAAATTTATGTGTTTTATTCCATAAAATAAAATTGTTATATAAACATTTCTGCAATATCTTTCTTGATTAAATGACAGAGAGAATCCTAATAAGGGTTAAACTATAGACATCCGGTACTCGCGTACAGGGGTGGGAGAGGGCGGGGGGAGCTCTTGCGGAAATGTATAGTTTATGAGTAATATTTTTTTTTGTAAAATCATAACCTCACTTTTTTACACAGGAATATTCACTAAATATCACAGGAATATAGTTCCTCGTATTACATATAGATTTTACAGATTCATTTAAGAATAAACATGTAGACGCTTACTGCAATCTTCGTCACTCGAACTAGACGGTAAATGTAAAACACGCTTCTTTTGTGCTAGTTTCCTTATCTTCTTTAGAATTTTACACTCTTCCATTTTTTCTTTTGTTTCCGATTATAATAAAAATTAAAACAATCTTTACTGAGCAGGAGTGATATGAAAACGTACGTGCGATAGCTTGAGCACGGAAATGTCGAATGAAGCGAGTATCGCGGTGTATGCAGGAGCGAGTGACAAGTGTCAGTGTTGCCATTAAATTATTTTTTCCTCCCTTTAAATACCTAAATAATAAATTAACATAAATCGGTAGAATGAAGCTGTGAAACGTAATTCTTATTATTACATCCTCCCTTCAACGTGAGAGACTCATATCAAAATCTCTTTTGTCCACAGTGATGTCCAAGTTCGCGGTCCGCGTGGACGCTGCAGTCTCGGCCCTGGGAAGCGGCGCCGGCGCCGGCTTGGACGAGAACGACTTCATCGACGCTTCGAGACTGGTCTACGATGGTGTGAGGGAGATACGAAGAGCTGTGCTGATGAATAGGGTAAGTTTGAAGAAATATTCATCATGTAACAAAACCCCCTGGTTCTCGTTAAGGTGGAATCGCCAGGGTAGCCCGCGAAATTCAAATTTTCTTACGTTTTTTGCAATTTGCAGGTCAGTGTCAGGTTGTATGGTTAACAAAATATGATTTGCGACCGTAGCGAGTATTTACTTACAGAATTGTAATCATCATAATCATCAATACAACCCCCTAAGTTCATATAATTCCTTTGAATGAGTTTTTCTGGAAGTAGCCATACAATGGGATTATATCAACTTAGAGGGTTGTATTGATGAATATAATGATTATAATTCTGTAGGTAAATACTCGCTACGCTCGCGAATCATATTTTGTTAAACATACACCCTGACACTGACCTGCAAATTGCAAAAAACGCAAGAAAATTTGAATTTCGGGGGCCACCCTTTAGCTTCCACCTTAAGTACGTTATCAGAATCAATATTCAAACGTATAAAAATAACTTTACTTCAGAAAACTCGACTATAAAAAAATTAAATTAATATAATTATAACTTTTAACAAAAGTAAAAAACGACTTCAAATTGTTAAGAAAGAAATTATTTATCTGCTAACCTTAGGGGTGAAATTTATATGGGACCACCCTTGAAGTATAACCTATTTAATTAAAAAAAAGAATCATTAAAATTGGTTCACAATCTGCGAGGATATCGCGTAACATACGTACAAAAAACATACACTTGAATTGAGAACCTCTTCCTTTTTGAAGTCGGTTAGTGAAATTAATTTTTATTTAATGATGTATATTTACGTGAAGGCTACACATTAAATGAAACTAATGTTTACGGTTTTTATCGCGTTTAATTTCACTTTTTAGTTCCCGACATTTCGGGTGCTTTACAGCACCCATGGTCACGGGGGGCACTGAGGTGTTTGACGTCCCGATATCATAGTTCGCCCGGCTACCTTCACTTTTTTAATATTAAGTTTTGGTCCGATCTACGATAGGATCCCAAGCTGATGGCACCACCCATCTATCTTCTCTAACGAAATTAGGATGTTTTCTTTTTTTATTTCAATAGCCTCGCGTATCATCCTTGATAGAAATCGATGTTCTTTTGCAAGGATTTGTGGTCTATTAAATCTAATGTAATTGCGGGGACGATCTTGAACATGTTCACACACTGCATAATACTATAAAACAGTTAGTCGTATTTTTATAAAAATTACGTCACATTATAGTTTAAATAATATACAAAAATATTATTTAAACTATATATATATATATATATATATATATATATATATATATATATAACCAAGAAAAAACAAAACGGGGAGTTCCAGGAATTTCGTGCATTAACCTTGAGATCCATGGGATGAAATGAAATGGACTCTCTTACCTATGCCGCCTTGTAAAGCGAAATACTTTTTGATTTCTAACGCTGTGTCTAGGATGACGAGGACTTGGATCCGGAAGACGTGGAGTTGGACGAGCATTATACATTGGAGACGAGGAGCAAATGTGAGAGGACCACGTCCTACCGTTCATCTCTGTCATGCTTGGGGTGTTTTAGATTTGTCTGTCCGTAACCTTTTGGATTTGGGATGTGACAGATTCGTTCAAATTTGAATTCATTTTCAGCTATTGAAACTAGTTTCTTAAGACAAGAAAATATTGTGTTATCTAAAATAAAACTGATACATCCCCAATCTAAATTATGTGTACATCGATAAACATTTTGTTTTAACTTGTTTTTATTATTTTCTAGGCTGCATGATTTTTGTTATAATCTGAAACTGATCTCAATTTTCTGAGTACTGTAACCAATTATAACTGTAACTGTAAAAAATTAGTAAACGAGATGAGACCCTAAATTAAATTAAACTATTTTCATGTAATATTTTTAACCAGCAAAAAGGATGCACAATTTTATCTGACGGCTCCGTGGTGCAGTGGCTTAGCAATGAGTTGTTGCGCTGGGGGCCGCGGTTTCGAATCCCGCACGGTACAAGTATTTGTATGGCCTACAAATAATTGTTCCGGGTCTGGATGTTTGTCCTCGTGCAATTTATGTTTGTAATATGCCTCCACGATACAGGAGAAAATCCTATTGTGGTGGTAACGTTTTTTTAATAAATAGAAATAATAATAATAATAATAAAAATAAAATAATCTATGTATTTCTATATTTTTGTTGTGTTGGTCCTTCGAGCTGGATAAAATATTTTTGTATAAAATATTTTATATTGTAAGTTCAAACTCAACGGCTACACACTTTTTAATAAACAGTAAGCACAAATAAAATATTACAACTAACGAGAGAGATTTTTTATAATAAATTAATAGTTTCTTGAGGTCCAGTTTTAGATTTCGTTCATATACCCTGTCCCATTATTTAAAACAGGCTCTCTGGTAAACTTGTTACGGTAATATGGATGATCTGATATCTTCCATTATAAGAAGTGCACCAATAAACGCGACAGGTGTAATTATTTAGCACTATCTCACGTTCAATTTAACGTGTCAAGTTTACTCGAGTTTTCCTCACCGACCATCGCATGCTAAATGTGTTCTGTCCGCTTGCATGTGTGCGTGTAGACCAGCGACGATCTAGACACCGATACGGAGTTCGAACCTGTCGAGGATATGACCATGGAAACGAGGAGCAGATGTAAGTATGCTGAAAATATCCTCGAGTATCAATCGACTGTTCAGATTACACAATGTAGAGATTTGTATACTTTTGAAAATTTATAATATATAAGTTGTCAAGGTGTCTCTAATATTCCATTAATTTGTATTGGTTTAATCATTCATTAGATCAGTGGGTTCTAATCAATACTACATAGATGAATATACAATGTATATAAAAACATATTTTGGTCATTTATGTATATTTTATTAACTACGCATAAAGCTTTTAGTAATCATGAAAACCAGTTCAATGGTACATTAGTCCCACTTTCTCTTTGCACAACTTTTTTGTGAGCTTCAGTCCTAAGTCATTCTCGAGTTGATTTTTAACTAGAAATTGTAATTGTTGCGTAGTTTTTTTTTACCTTATTAAGGAGTTTGCACCCTTAGCTCATTTAAAAGCGTAACCCTTCAGGCAACCACACGTACTCCTGGCGGTGCTCAGCCTGCGGCAGTTCACTGCTGGACATAGGCCCATCTCAAAGCGCGCCACTTAACGCGATCTTCAGCATCACACATCCAGTTGCTGTCTGGGGGTACAAGCACCACTAATTGAGAAACACTGCATTAGATACAAAAAGCTGAAATCGAAATTCCCTTTGATTTTACAATCTTTTAAATTATGACTGGCTTTTAAATGACGTTACCTGATCTATAATTGTCAGTTAATTAAATTATCTAATATGTGGTCTTGCTGTTTAAACTGAATAAATTATCCACATTTTATCACGTTACTATGTGATTGCTCATTTAGAAAATTGCCTGCGAACATATAGTTTCAATTAATTACTTCTACCCTCAATTACTATCTCCCAATTATTCAATTATCGTCTATAAGTTCTGTTCTTAATAAACATTCTGAAATCTCTCTTGTATTTGTTTTGTACTCCTCTTATCTTGTTGTCTTCTTTTGTTCTTTTATTTTTACTCTTAATCCATTATATTTCACTTTAATAGCTGTTTTGGTTATGCTCATTATATTATTTATTTAAATTCTTTATTTCTTTCACTAATATGTTTTTTTTTACCCACTTTCTGTTTCATCGTCCTCGTGTTTTCGATTTCTTATATTCTTTAAATTTTTCTTTCATTAATCCAATTATATCCATATTATTTAAAACAATTTAAATTTTTTCGTATAATTTTGGATCGGCAATTTTAAGCTACGATTTATGTGTGTATTAGTTGTTTAGGTTTTGCATTTTGAGACTTCATAATCATTCATATAGTTGTATTAATATCACTCGGGAAATTCATTCATTTTTGGTAACTGTGATATATTATGTATATTTATAATTTTATGTTTATGCATGTATTTACATTTAATGTATAATGACATGTTCCATTACTAAGATGGGTGTGATCCGTATGACATGGTTATTAATCCTTATAAGAATTCTTGTTATTATTATAGTGCATTGCAAGTCCACTGCTAAAGATTCGCAAAAGCCTCGCACGATCCAGAGTTACCCGTAACCATCGACTCGTGTATCTCATCAGATGGTGAATGGAATCGGCGAGAAGTTACGCTACAACTAGCTACTAACTAACTACCGTAACGGAGACTTTTTTACTGGAAACGAGGCATTCCATCTTAGTCCTCAGTGTGGAAACGCATCTGCATTTTGATTCTTGTTCGAGGATAGATGCAGATGTCTATGGGCCACAGCAACCACTTACTTAGCTGTCGTTTGTCAGTTATGCGATCCAGTTGCTTTGGCTTCCCATTTCCACTTCAGCTGATGTTGTTGAAAGTTTTGGAAGGGGTAGACCTAGGCGGGCGTATCTAAACCAAATCAGGGACCTCTTGAAAAAAGGCCAGGTCAAGAGTACCCTAAACCGTAGCGCATGTATGAAGGGAAAAATGAAAGTAGACGAATCGAAACAAGTATGTAAGGATCTTAGCAAGTGGAAAGAAGTGGTCTCTGCCTACCCCTACGGGAAAGTGGCGTGAATATATGTATGTATGTATGTATGTAATAAATTCTTACGACAAACGTATTCGTAGGATGAAATTTGGCGATGGATTTAACTGAAAACAGGAGATCTTTTTTGGTGGTTACAAGGCGTTTAATCTTAGTCCAGGAGTGACAATACTTCTACATTTTAATTCTTAATTGAATTACATTCAAATCAATGTATGTTAAAGAGACAGTGCAACCACTGACCACCAGGTGTAGTGTGTGCCCGTTTGTCACCATTATTTATATTAAAAAAAAACCCACGACAAAAATATCTTAATATTTATCATGATATCTACATCAAGCCCGCTGCTGAATATTGACTTTCCTTACAGATTAAATACATGGCTTAGCACAATCGCTTCCACCGACTTCTTGTTCATCTTCAAGGCAAGAGTGAATAGGCTTTTGTTATGCTAAGACAATGCGATTTACCATCTAAGGCTATTTCACCTCTTACCACCAGATGTGTTTGTGGTTAAGCACTGGCTTGTAATGAGTTAAAAAAAAGTCTGGTGATGTAAGTCCATCTTATAGTCGTTCGTAAGTCAACAAATAAAAATTGCGACATAAGTAGAAAGTTATTTATTTGTTTATTATTCCCACAGCAAGTGCCCACACTGGAGAACATGGCGTCGATGAATATCCTGATATTAGTGGCATTACTAACGCCAGGGTGAGTGATTTATTTTAATAATTATCAAATCATATCATGATAGTTATCACATCATATCATGATAGTTATCACAACATATCACTATGTATCATGACATGTCATAATGTATCACGAAATATTACAATCAAGGTTACGTATGTTGTGATATATATTTATTTACAATATTATATTGTGTGTGTACTCATTATTACAAAACCGTGTTATCTATCTTGTAAAACAGGAAGCGATGCGAAAGATGACCGAGGAGGACAAACGCAAGATCCTGCAGCAAGTGGAGCTCTTCCGCAGGGAGAAGATGACTTTCGACAACGAGGTCGCCAAGTGGGACGACGCTGGGAACGACATCATTATGCTGGCCAAGCACATGTGCATGATCATGTTGGAGATGACGGACTTCACGAGGTGAGAACTTTCCTTTTTTGCCTTTACAGCCGATTAAAGTCCACTGCTGAACATAGCGATATATGGGGGAGGCCCCATAGATCGCTAGGGAAGATATTTGCCATAATTGCCGCGCTTGGCAAGCGGGTTGGCAACAGCAGTTTTTTTTTACTTTTAGTCGTTATTAAGGAGACTACGATCCATCTCCTGATTTGTTCTTTTCTTTCGCCTCTTACAACAGTCATGGGGTGATATAGGGTAGTTAATATTCTTAAACGACCATGACAAATTAGGGACATTCAAGAAAAAGAGTCTACTCCTTTCTAAAAGGCCGGCAGCGCACCTGCAATTCGGTTGCGGTTGCGGTTGGCGGTTGACACAACATCAGGTGAGCCGCATGCTCGTTTACCTACTCTTCAATACCAAAAGAAAATTTTTGGTGGTACGGATCTGTTCTATATATACTGGAGTAGTTCGGAAACTTCAATAGCGTGATTTAGTCTTCGTTTCTACACCGCCATCTATTTTTAAGCCATAAAATCTTTTCGACTTATACTATAGTGTAATATTTGACTCTGTTACTGTAGCATTAAGCCTTGGATATACTTGGGGACATGTCGCTCAACAATTACGTGGAATGTTGTGAGACATATGTCGCGGTACATTTTGCAGGCCACACTAGTCAGTGCTTATAGAAATGTCGCCCGAGGAGGTTGTGGCGATTAGGGCTGCATACATAGTACTAATTCGGGAGTGAAACGTAAGCGAAAGAGAAGGTGGTGGATGCGGAATTTCTTACTAAAACGAGAAGAAAGAGGACTCAATATTTTAAGTGATTTCAGAATGTATGACGGATCTTTTGTGAATTTTACTCGAATGTCAACATCTGATTTTGAAACTTTACTACAAATGATCGGACATGAGCAAGCATCATATTAGTCTGTGGATCGGACCTTCCATAGCCAAACAGGACACAATACTACGGAATGCTGTTTGCCCTCATATCAGACTTGCTATTGCATTAACATACTTGTCGACTGGAGATTCTTATGCTTCCTTGTCGTGCACCTTTTGAGTGTCGAAACAACTGTACGGTAGAATAGTTACCAGAAGCTTGTGGTTTGAAGTATCCCACAACAAACATGAAAAGAACGGTTTTGTTTGTCCATACTACTTGCAAGTTGGAAACTATGTTACAACTTGCAAGGCACACGGTAACAAAGAGCGCGACACTGACGCGGGACCGTACGCTCGCTCTCGGAGCGGGAACAAGCAACATGTCCCGCGTCACGTGAAATGTTGCAGGTCACTGTGCAGCGTTGTATCGTCATCGTCGATTGCGTGTTTCGCGTCATGTTGCCAGACATAAGGTCCCCTAGTGTATCCGGGGTTTTATACTGTGGCAAATGCCACAAAATTTGTTACTGCAGTCCATTTATTTTAATTTTTTTATATTTAGTTGTTTTTTTTGTTTGGAAAATTGTTTTTCTTCAATTTGCAGCAATAAATAAATATATTTTTTCTTTCTTACTTTCTATAGTTATCCCTTTTTTTTTTTTTTTTACATGGGGAAATGCCTACGCATACCCGCCTCACGGGGGCAAGGACGGGTTATGTCGGACTCGCACCGACTAAAACCCCATGGTGTTCCACACTCGTCGCATATTGGCAGGGCCACGGGAACGCTTTCGCACACTTCCGCGGCCCCACCTGCGCTGGCCGCCCCATGGCGGCCCCTCCTCGGGAGAGGAACACTCCTCCCCCATCTCCTTCTCAGGTAAGGCGCACCAGAACACATGGTGCGCCCTCCTCCTGGGCCTCCAATTTCCAATGCGCAACGGACGCCCCCGTGTCCGATGCGCGAAGGCCATGGGGCCAGGAAAAACTAGCACTCAGAAGCACCGGCCTTCCTGGCCCCAGCGGCGGATCTGGTCTATGGCTCCGCCGCCAACCGAGATTCGGCTGCGGAGGGTAGGGAGAGCGGCGCCTCGCAATACCGACACTCCTCTCCCCCCGCGGCCCCACCACCACCGCATCATTAACGGTGCGGCCCCGTCAGAGTCGCGGAGGATAGGGCGAGTGGCGCATCGCCATACCAGCACGCCTCTTCCTCCGCGACTCCACCTCGGCTGCTGCGATAGAGGGAGCGGACCCCCCTCTCGCAGCATCCCACCGACACACATCCGAAGTGGGCTTCCCAAGCCCACTCGGAGTGGCCACCTCGGGCCGGCCCTACACCACGGGCCAGCCAAGGGGTTCCTCTTTGTTCACCGTGGTTGACCAAGCCACGGCTACTAAGCCCCCCCGCCACGACAAGGCGGGAACCCGTTCGGGGGGGTCTATAGTTATCCCTGCGACATACATGAGTCTAAATGAAGCGACAGTTTGAAACCTTGCTAACTCGGGGTATAAGCGTTTGATTAAAATGTCATTCAAAACGCAAGCAACGAGGTTCGATTCCGTTGTCTGATGCAATTTTAAGTGCTGTTTAAAAGTAATCTGTTTGTCGGTTTGCACAGAGGCCGTGGACCTTTGAAGACGACCATGGACGTCATCAACGCCGCCAAGAAGATTTCGGAGGCTGGCACCAAGTTGGACAAGCTGACCCGTGAGATTGCTGAGCAGGTAAAGTTTTTCAATACTTTCTTGCTGGAAACCAAACACTTGTGTATCACAGCGTTCGCAAAACGTGGTATTCATTTGACGTGGTAGAGTCTCGCTACAGCAGCTATATTATGGTTGTAGCACGAACGGATCCACTCGACCGGGGTAAGACCATGCTCTCACAGAATATCAGCGTCAAATAGCAACTTAATGTTAATGCTGCTGTGTTTCGTATGGTGAGTGTATGTGAATGTGAATATGTAAGTAAGGCATTCCATCTTAGTCCTCGGGGGTGACAACGTATCTGTATTTTGATTTTTAATCTAGGATAAATGTAGAAGTCTATGGTACGTTAATGTTTTAGATTGTTATTATAATACGTACGCACACATACACGCGTAAACACGCACGTACATACGCACGCACGCACGCTCGCTCGCTCCTACGCAAAAACACACATACGTGGTCTAAAACTAATTTTACGAATTTTATCGCGTTTAATTTTGACTTTGTCTAGATCCAGAAATCACCCGTGCGAAGCCGGAGCGGATCGCTAGTCTGCATATACATATTTTTCGTTTCCAGTGCCCGGAGTCGTCTACGAAGCAGGACCTGCTTGCGTACTTGCAGCGCATCGCTCTCTACTGCCACCAGATCCAGATCACCAGCAAGGTGAAGGCCGACGTGCAGAACATCTCCGGCGAGCTCATCGTCAGTGGGGTAAGTCGGGCATCGTCAGTAGTTTTACGTGGTAGAGCCATGCCGCAGCTTATAGTTACTGATATAGTTTTAGCACGAATGGGTCGGCTCGACCGAGTAAGGATACGCTCTCACAGAAGACCAGCGTAAAATAGCAGCTTAGTGCTGCTGTGTTTCGTATGGTGAGTGTAGAGAACCGGGGACCCTTTTTACTGGAAACGACGCATTCCATCTTAGTCCTCACGGGTGACAACGCATCTGCTTTTTGATTTGTAATCGAGGATAGATGTAGATGTCTATGAGCCGCAGCAACCACTTACCATCAGGTGGACTGTGTGCTCGTTTGTCACTTTTATTCTATAAAAATAAAGTCGTGACTCACCACTCACCTGGGAGGAGGGGGGGATCACTCAGCTGTAGCATCGCATACATAGTTTATAAGCTGACTCCGAAACCAAGCTAAAACCTTGTTAAACTTATTGTAAGAACACGTACTCACGTTAACGCTGCTGTGTTTCGTATGGTGAGTGTAAAGAACCGGAGACGCTTTTCACAAACGAGGCATTCCATCTTAGTCTTCAGGGATAACCACGCATCTGCATTTTGATATATAGTTGAGGATAGATGTAGATTGCCGCAGCAACCACTTGGATGTATGTATTTATATATATATGTATATATTGTGTGTATTTGAAGTATATATGTCTATGTATGTGTGTGTATATGTATATATGTATATACAATTCTTTTTAGCGCTTTCTATTTGCTGCACCGCCTCTTGTTTGTATATCTCTGTTTAGCCTAATGGTTGACTGGGAGAGAATGCCCTATGGCATTAAGTCCGCCATATGTACAACTTTGTGCATGAAAGATTAAATAAATCAAATAAACCACTTACAATTAGACACAGATTACAATTAGACCACTTACAGATGGACTGCGTGTTCGTTTATCAACCTCTGTTATATACAAAATCCATCTTTATCTCCGTGGGACTCGTGCCGAAAAGTGGAATGTATGTTACTGTAACCGTTTGTGTTGCATTTCAGCTGGACAGCGCGACCTCTCTGATTCAAGCGGCGAAGAACCTGATGAACGCGGTCGTGCTGACGGTGAAGGCTTCCTACGTGGCCTCCACCAAGTACACGCGCCAAGGGACCATCGCTGTGAGTATACACACAGTTTTATACACTAGTAGTTTGAGGGTACTTGAGGGTAGACGGTGAAATGAGTGGTTTTAGGGTAATGTAAAAAGTTAAGCTTGTGGCCTATACATAATGTAAAAAACACCCTGTCATTCGCGTTAAGTGGGTTATGAGAATATATTAAATAAATTTATTTCAGATAATCGACGTAAAAAAAAATTAAATTAAATTAAAACAAATGTTTACTTGTACATAGTATGTGTTTTTATTACATGTAACTGACACGCGCTAATGCAGGGATAATAAACCCAACATACTTTTACAGTCTATTAAAGTCAACTTCTAAAAATAAACCTCCGCCATAGATTGCCTCATGTATTGATATTTGCCATAGTTGCCACGCTTGGCAAGCGGGTTGGCAACCGCAGTGTTTTGTTTTTAGTCGTTATTAAGAAGACGCTGCTGCCCATCTCCTGACTTTTTTACCTATGTCGCCGCTTACTTACACTACACGTTAAACAAACCTACATACAATTTGCAAATAAAATTTATTAAATTGAGTTTAATGAAGTAATGTTATTTCTATACGTTTTAATACTGATTCTCATAACGCACTTAACGGGAACCGCCGGGTTTTTGTTACACGTAGTATACGTCCCACTGCTGGGCATAGGCTTCCTTTCATATCTAAGAAGATTTCAATGCAAAGAAGTGTCCACTGCGCTGCCGAAATGGGTTGATAATAATTTTTAATTTCTCAGACATGCAGGTTTCCTCATAATGTTTTCCTTCACGCGATGAATCGGCACTTAAAATTGCAATTAACAATTTCGCCGCCAAGGATCGAACCGAGAGAAGTCTGAAATTTTTGCCAACTACCCGCAGTATTAATTTGAGGGTAGTTTTGAAAAACAAAGTGAACATTTAGATTCGGAACAATTTTTTGTAGGCCGTACGGTATTCAAACTCGTGACTAACAGTGCCCCAGCTATAAGCTTATCCACTGCGCTCTGAGCCGTATAAATAATATAACATTCTTAAACAATATGCTTGTATTTCGCTTGGTGAATATTAAATGCATTTATAACAAAGTTTGATACGCAGTAAAAAATATTAACCAAGCGCTTTGATGCGCAAACGTCTGCAGTTAACTGCCAATAAGTGTTGCCAGTGCTTTTACAAGTTGAGAATATATTAAGTAATTATTAGGATGTATCGCTTGGTACCGCTTAATATAAAAGCAAAAAAAAAAGAAAAACGATTTGTTAAAGTTACACATTATTACAATTTACTTATCTAAATTTATAAAGGATATACTTGATTCGACAAACTTAAGGAGTTAGTTTTGAATAATTAAAAAAAAACTTGTGGGCTATAAGGGTGGGGGAGGGGGGGGGGGGTGACTTAGATGTTTGACGTCTCGATGTCAATAGCTTAAAGCCTTGCTGTAAGTAGTCTAAAAATCTAGAAGTCCCCCCACCCAACCTATGAGGTAATCTATGGGGGAAGCCTAATCCAGCAGCAGCTTATATAAGCTGTAATGGGTGGATGTATAGAAGATAATCTACCAGGAGCACATGAGCCGTTGAGAGGTGAAATTATTAAATCAACAGTAACATTCTACTTGATTCGTTTGAATAAAAAAAACTTCGGTTGAAAACTTCGGCCTGCCAAGCGTTATATCCCGCTATGCTTCCCCCCGCCCCCTCCCCCCCCCCCCCGTCCAACATGAGACAAACTATGGAGGAGGTCTATGTTTAGCAGTGGACTTTATAAGCTATAAAGTTAACGGTAATACAAATATGCCTAGTACATAAGGTTGGTTTTATTTTTATTATATCCTAACACATCCCCTCTAAGTTTGTCGGTCAAGTTACATCTCCCCTATACTTATAATTGGATAAAGCATAATGATACAACTTGTGTATGCTTATCTACGGGCTGGCGGGGCAGAACAACTACGTGAGTCTATGATATTGCAGTAGATGAATGTTCCCATAGAACCATAACGCATAGAATACAGACGAAATACAAAATTTTTGGGCGTATCGAGTACATACGCACGCACATGCACAGGCACATATACGTGCACGCTGTAGTGTAGCTCACACAACATATTATTATGTAAGTTCTAAATATTTACATACAATCTTATTAAAAACATCTAACTAGACGACGCGCATCCTTCATTGGCTACTCATATCAATAGATACTCTGATTTATTCAATATAGATTATAAATAATACTTATTGAAAGTCACTCTTATGTTTAAATTGCCACTGGTTCCGAAAATACCTCTGTCCTGGGAATGACCAGCAAGAAACCCAGCGTAACTTCATATTTTTTAAAGAACAGTTTACAATAATTTAAATTACATTTTAAGTTACACAATAATTAACAACACAAAACAAATATTACAAATAGCTTGATAGCGATCACCTCATTCCCAGACATAAAAACACAGACACAACACATACGCAATTGCCATATAAAAGGGCAAAAAAATAGGCTGGTACATAAACGCAATTGTCTGCACACACATATACGCGATCTCATACACATGCTTGTGTGTGCGCGTGTGTGTGTGTGTGAGAGAGAGAGAGAGAAAGAGAGAGAGACAGAGATTGAATGTGTGCGTGCATACGTTTGTGCATGTGCGTGGGTAAACACAGACATAAAGCTGATTGTTTTTATTGGTATATCATACTGACTTGAGATTTGTTAATGGAGGAAGGCGCTCAGCTACTTACGGCAGATTCCATTTTGCATCACCAAGTTTGAGGTTACTTGGTATCTTTGCGTTATGATTCTACGGGTGTCTATCGTAGGATCTCTGTTGTATGAGCATGGCAAAAATATTGTTGTTAAACTATTTGTATTTGTGTAAATCCATGTACACTTATTTATTTTGCCTTTTTATTGACTGTATTTTTTTATTGAACCCTTTTAGCGTTATAATTAAGGTAAAAACCTACTTTAAACAACTGAAATGTAGTAAAGGATCTCCACATAATATAGCTTTTCAAGTTAGAGGCTTTGGTACTTTTATACCTTGAACGAATTAACCACTGGACCCGACATAAAACACAAATGTATGAAAACTCATTCAACCAAGTGGAGAATAACCCACACAAAGATTTTATTACGTTAATATAAACATAGATATAAAATTCGTAGAAGGTAACTCTATTTCTAGTGCTTGAACGTAGCCGATAAAATATATCGATGAACGATTTCTCATTCGTTCATCGATATATTTTATAATTTATACAGAAAATGCATAATCGTAAATAAGCTAAGCTGTAAGACAAAGGAAATAAAGGGAGAATGAAGGTGAGGTAAGCTTACAATATTTAAACTTAATTAAAATAAAATAAAGAGGACATTGTTATGGACTTTTTATTCAATTATAGTTATTAGAAACGTAAATTTTTTTTGTAAAGTTTAAATTATTTAAATAGGTTTACTGACTTTTATTATGTATCATCTTTCTTAAAATGTGTTTCTTAGAACTTGTTTTGTTGGCTTGTTTTCTTATATAAGCAATTCTAATATTTAAATAATATTCAGCAACGGCTTTCATTAATTCTTCGACGTGATTTACGTCGTCGTTTTCAAATTTGTGGAAATGAATGTCTTCGTACAACGGAAGTTGGAGCAATGTTTCTGTTACTTTCGGCAGGAGAAAGTCTGTTGTGTAATCTTTTTTTAGTCTCTTATTCTGAACACCCTTCCTAAGTTCGAGTTCGCAGTGCTGACAAATAGCTATGGTGTCACTTGAGGGATGTATCAGTTTTCCCTTGTCTTTATGGGCAATGAGACTGCCTTCATTGTTGTCAATTTGAGGGAGGAGAGCAGACGTGCAAGTTTCACATTTTAGTGACTTCAAAAGTTTGTGAACTACAAAACCAGCAATATATTCAACCACCTTTTGTCCGTAAGGCGAAAGCGTAGTTACATGACGCAGTTCATCATTATTTGGGGTTAAATGCAAAGTTTGGTTGTCGCTGTTACATCTCGCTGTTGTCATATTTATTCTCTCGACAGGTGATTTAGATGAGCAGTTAAGTATTGAAATGGATTCCAACGGTACACAGTTCCCTGAATCTACATCAATAAGTTCTGAGTGAACTAGCATTCTCTTGTATATTGATTCAAATAGCTTGATGGTTGGGTTATCATTGCATCTTCCATGACTACGTATATTACTAAAAAATATTTCAATGTGATCTTGAGATATTTTATGGAAAGGCAAGTATGTCATGTGATTGTCTTTTTTTACTAGGTCTTCAAAAAGTCCCTTAGCACTTTCAGCACATAAGCAAAACCCAAGAAAGCCAGTAAAGCGAAGCGTTTCCATAATATTCGTCTCATTATGTTTTAATTTTTTTAAATATTTTGTTGTTTCTTCCAGGACTTTAAAGGTCGCTTCATAATTTTCAGAATTCATTGCTCGTTTGAATCCATACTGATGAACTCTGGAATCCAGAATATCAAACAAAATATTAATTTTCTTCAAAAATTCTGCCGTAGCTTTAACACCACAAAAGTTAAGGATTCGAAGCTCCGTGTCACAGAATAATAATGCATCAGCTACACTGTCGCTAAATAGCTGAGATGCAAGTCGAACATTCATGATTTTTGTTCTAAAATAAATGTGATTTGCTCGCAATTTGTTCGCCAAATGGAACAGTTCACTATCTTGTAAATTGTGTAATTCTTCTAAATATTTCCAATTGATTTCTCTGCCTTCAGAATCTTCAAAATTTCCGTATGCTTGGAAAGCGTTTCTTACATTTTTTAGCATGTGGCATGGGTCTAGAAAGACATAAATACTATTTCCATTTACGGGATTTTTGAAAAAGGGTTTTAGATTTGCTATATCTAAGCAACATCCCAATTTCTTGGCTGTAGCTAAATTTGACTTGTGGCCGTCAAATGTAAGCGTTTTTATTTCCACACCACTTGCTTGCACTAGCTCTACTGCTATCAATATAAGTTTCGATTTCTGTTCAGCATTT